ATGCATTCAGCTTTCTGAATCTTTTACGATCTCGGAAATATAACTCAGGAGCCGTTGGCTTTTCTAGTGACCTATTAGGTCGCCTTAATACTCAACCTAAGTTCGGTGTTACGCTTTTTAAAAAGAAAAACTTTTGGTGGAAGATCCTTTCATTTAATCATCACTCCAGCTATGTTTCACGAGAACTATCCCACTCATGAGAAGCATTTACTTGCTCACTGAGTATTATCTTTTACTGAGATATTCTGTAATTGGCAAATTCATTTTTTCACTATTCTTATTGTTCCACCTATACTCACTTTGAATTAAAAAGATCTACGCTTGAAAGAGTAATCTGTCAATGTTTTAGGACTGTTTTAATGAAATGTTCATTTGCTAAATTAATTCCTTTGTTTATGTGTTAGCAGAATAATAAAAAGCAAAAGTTTCTGTCATTTTAATGTTTGCTTCAGTTTTATTGTTTATTTGCTTGGTAATCCATAGGGGTATTTTACCTTTACTAAGTAATTCTCCTGCTAAATATTACAGTGGGAGTTAGGTGATAGTAGTGTGATGAATTCCCTATGGTAATAATAGTAACAATAACTACAATGGTAGTAATATGTTACTTACAAAATTGGTTGTGTTGTTGGGTTACCTAAGTTGTTTGACTTAACCATAAAGATATATCTAATGGCTTAAGAACTATTCGATGTTTATGCAGGACAACGACGAGATGGACAATCACTTTGTTCAATGTAATGCTTATAACATTTGTTGTAGTCTGTTTTATAGATGAAATTCCCTAGTTACTACATTCTGCGGTTTGCATAATATAGAGTGGAGAGAACTTGTAGGGATATAAGCTATCCTTATTCTAATATGTAGCAGTGTTTTTTATGTGGTTTACTAGATTTTATTTCAGTATATCTGGCCATTCCTTCTCTTAATGAATTTGGCAAACGTTATTAGGAGGGTTATGTAAGCGAATATCCATCTTCAGACAGTTCCCTCCACAAGTAGGATGAACTGCAATTTGGTTTTGCCCTTTTAAATAAATATGAGGGTAATATTTGGACACTGTGGTAGAATATAACTACTTTTCATTGATTTATTAAACGTGACGAACAGTGAAATGGTGTTCATTGTTCATCTAACAAACTAGTTAAAATGGTATTTTGAACAAATTCTATCCCCAAGTCATTCTGTGCTTTTTTGATTTACTGCTACTGTGTTTAAGAATGATTAGTGTTGGTTCTATACTCCTGCAAAGTTCGGTTTGGATATGTTAGTTCAACTGATCGAAATTTAATGAATTGGAAGTATATTGTTTGAACACTCTTCTGCAATGATTTTGTTGTCATCAAAAACGTGGTTGATTAAATTCTAGTTACTTTCTAACACATTTTTTCTGATAACCAACTTATTGTTGACAAAGACAATAGAAAGTTTTGGTTTAACTACGAGTCATATTCTGGCTCCAAGTCTGTACATTACCACTTCCGTAATAAATGCAAATATCAGTGAATTCATGGCGGTCTATTTATTCTGTTTGAACATTTCACGGTTTAATCTGAAATATTATGTTGTGTGCACATCAAGTCCGATGAGAAGTCGACACTAATATTTGACATGGTGCGAAAAAATTGCGTGGTTAACGTTGAATCCAACCAGTTCATAGAATGCAACACTTACACAATCATCTATTTGGGCCGAAAATATTCACCTGTATTATCGTCTTAGTTTTATTTGCGTATGCTCTATCTGTTCTCATTACGCACAAAAATGGTTCAATGTGTTTAGTTTTTTCCTTTACATTCTTGTTCTTTTAAGTGATGATAAGCGCTTAGGATATTGACTAAAATCATTATACCCCAAGAAACACCCATTATTAATCATATATATATTTTTATATACCCTTATGTTTTTATGCATATTTTTAATATAGTCGTATAGAACACCTTCAAATTGATACCCACTAGTATCTTAATGGAGAATAGATGTTTTATACTTATTTACAATACCATATACACAACTGTATTGCAAATGCATAAATCCGTATTCATTTGATTACTCGCTACTTTGAACCGCCTGTTTAGCCACTTCGGTAGGTTTGTTTTGTTGGCTTTGTCTACAAAATATTTCAACCTATTTTTGGAATATGGTACAATAAAGTTAAAGAGATCCCTTGAGATAAATTGTTTTCTGAGAAATATATGTATATGGTTGCCATCCACTTTTCTGCTTCGATAAATGCCGCGGTTATATCGAGAGTAAGAATCAAAAAGGTGGAAAGAATATTGTTTAATGCTTTTTCTTTTTTCTTGACGTGCACATTAGTTATGAAAGTTGGAGCTAACCATAGAGAATTTTGATAAGTGAATGGTCATTTCTAAACTCTGTCGAAACTGTAAGGTACATATTGCATACATTTTATTCGTTTGTTTTCATACTTTTTCGTTACACCTGCTTTCAATATCTAACACTATATTACTGTAACTAGGAATTCCATCTTAAGTTAAGACGAATGATGAGAGATTTGACAGCTTCGTTTGTTTTAATCACTCTGAGACCTTCTCAGTATTTGAAATTAGGCTCGATTCCTCTTTTGTGCAGACTTTTTTGAAGCTACTCTGAAACTGACTTATCGTTTCATGCATAAGAAGTTCAGCCTTTCACCAAATGACTTCGCTTACAATATATAGTACATGAACTAGTGTTGAGTGTACATGTTTGGACGTTCAATTGTTTATTTTATAAAATAATTACTGATTGCGGTATAAGTATCCATGTGCATTGCCAGTATGATTCAAAAACACTATGTTGATTTCAAGTTGTTATTCATCGTAGACTGACATCAGCTGGAGGAACAAAGGAAACTGCGAGCACTGGACAGCTGTTTCGTCCTAGTGTGGAACTCCTCAGCAGTGCGCACCCTATGTTGATTCTTTTAAAAATCATAAAAGACCTTTATTCATTGTCCAATCACCTAATAACTTCATAGGGGGATTACAAGTTCAATTAGGCAGACTTTTTACAGCTTCGTACGATTCCCGTCATGTTGCAGAAATCAGTAATAACTCTCATGTATTCCACTAAAAGCTTTTTAAAAATATCTCTTAACGGAGACGGTTTCAGTCACAATTTTTCCGTTCTAGTTTTCATTACCTTCAAACATGTGCCCTGGGAGCTGTAGATTAAAGGTAAAAATACGATCTGTGTTGAGTGATTTTGATGACCTACATCAGTTACGTAGTATCTAATACTCAGATTTGGTATCATGCAATTCTTCTACGACATACAAGTAATATATCAACAGGACATAAAGCCAAAGAATTAGTTCAACTGACCCATGAGTTATTCAGTCAGCACCAGCAAATGACGCAGCAGTACTGAGCAACTGGGCAAGTTGCTACACTTTATATCAACATATGAAGATAGAAGGCACAAAAATGAAAAAAAGAAGAGGAAAGTTGCCAAAGGTGGTTGGAATTCGTAAAAGGAGATAAAAAGGGATAAAATAGTGGAAGAATTCACTATGATTGAGATGAGGACAGTTGGTGGATGTACTTGGACCACTAAGATCCATTCTGGTCCATATTGCCTGGGCGCTCTAACCAATCTCCATTTTAGGTTATCACATGAACTGCAATCAAGATGGTCACACTTCTTTACACGGGTAAGAATAACAGTTAGAAACTTCATTCATTAAGAGCAGGTTTTATTCTGGTCGTGTGTAACTTGTCTCCAGCATAAATCTACTTCATCTGACATTGCACAACATTAGACGTGACTAGGCGTGGGCATCACATGCCCTAGCTATCTGAGTCGAAGAAGGTCTCTAATTTCATCAAATGACTTACTTCTTGTACTTAAAACTCCATGATTCACTTCTGTATTACTGTGATGGCAACACGACCTACTATCTAAAGACTCATATAAGGTGTATGCAACTCAATAATGAAAATAAAACTCAGTCTCGCTGTTTCCTGATTCAGGAAGGGCTTCTGTGGATTACAAGATAATGTTGCATCACTGAAATGAATTACGATTGTTTTTATCTCAACCACTACTATGCTGTCTTTAAACCCTTTTTCAACATTTATGTGTGACAGAGGATGATTTAACCATGGTACAATCGTCTACTGTTCTTGATATCTGATTTTCAGCCTCCGGTTACAAGAAATCTTAGAATTCTTTTGTGCTTGTTCATAATCTTCAGCCTAACTTACTTGGTATCTTGACTAACACTGAGAATTTTAACGTGACATTGTTTTCCGTTTAGTGAACATTTTTCACGTAAAAATCAGTCTGTGAAGGTTCAGTCACAGATGCATTAGCTCAACAGTATAGTCTTTCTTTGTAGCTCTTAATGACACTACTACGAATCCTACTTAGATTATGATTGTCTCTAGCTTTGGATATCCATTGAAATGATCAGTAATGAAAGTTATGGGGTAAATTTATTCTGTTTAGGATCTGCAATTACTTAAGGTTGATTTAACACGCTTATTAGCAAAAAAACGCACTGTTCCTGTTTTGACATATCTTATTTGCAGAGACTTGGAGCCATACGTTTTCGGAAGATAAGCAGACTTATCCTAATAAAATTTACAACTTCCAGGGTGTCTCTACGTATGACGATATAACGGTTAAAGGTTTTAACAATTTACTTTACAGTCGGTGTAAATTTAATGAAAATTGATGTTCGTGAACGGTTATGTGTTTAACTATTGACCGGTAATTATGATTTACTGCAGCATAAACGAAATGGTGTATATACACTAAGCAAATAATGTAGATACTTTCATCTCTTTGTGAACTCATTTCACAGCAATTAAGGCGGACAAGCGCAGATGTCATCGAGTTTCGTTCCAAGAATCAGTATAAAAGAAGTAAAGGCAATGAATTCCACACATTTCGATTAATTTGTTACATAATATGTTAAATATTCTTTCTTGACAATCAGTTTAAAAAATTTCTTTCATAAACCTATGCTTTCGACTGCTTTTTTATTAAAGGGAACCATTCATCATATTTTCTGGTGGTGGACGTTCTTCAGGACCTCAGACAAGTGGGAATGTTCATCAGACGTCACTAACCACAACATCAACGCCTCTAATTAACTCAGATATTTATGAAGTTGATCCTGCTTTATCATCTCAATGTACATCATCAAGTTACCATACCTTAACTATTAAAAGAGGCAAAAAACTAACTGTTTTACAGTTGGATCATAAACTTGTTCAATTTACACCGCTTTGTTCATCGCCGTATACTAGTGGTAAGGAAAGATTATTCATAATTTTCGATATTTATAGTTATTTGATAATAATCATTTACCAATAAGTTATTATGAATGCATCATTACTGGAAGGGATAACTGATCCAAGATACAGTAATGTTATTAGCGTAATTCTTCGGTAACCGAAGTGACTTCATATTTGTTTCATCAGTGTCATACGTTGAATATATTTACTTAGTGATAGTTCCTTTTTCAAACTTTTACGGTGTATTGACCAGTGATGCACACTGTAAGGTTTATTTTATTCATGCTGGTTGGTACTTAACATCTTTATGTAATTCTGATATATTTTGAGTCATACTTCAACACGGACACGCTAGTTGAAATATATTTGATGAAATTGCCTTTTGTTAACGCTGTATCAAGACTTATTTAACGTGGCGTAGCTGTAGCTTGCACGTCAGCTCCAAATGTAGATTTTAAATTCCATTCTAGCTCTGTTTTTGTTTTGTCTTTGACATTTTCTTGGGGACACAGAGACTTTTTCATACTAAATTTTACTCCACTTCTAACTTCTTTGCTACTTAGTTTCTACCCTCTTATCTGACAAAAATTCTAAAAATGTTTTGTAATTGTTAGGAAATCAAGCACAAAGCTAAAAGACAACAGATAGTTTTATACAGTAGACTTACCCAGTGCATTTTAAATATATTCTGCATATATCTTTAGTAACGTAAAGTTGTTTAAGTATAAGCACACACAGACTGAGACGAAGGTCAGTCAGTATTTTTTTATCAGATATATCTTTCGTTTCCAGTATTCTTTGGTAGTAATACTAAAGTTAGGTGAGATACACTTTCAGTGAGTGGTGTTAGTGTTTTTTATATGTCCATGGAATATGTTTCGGTCGGTTTTTACCATTTTATGTTTATTTTGGATCACGTATTATTTGTGTTGAAGCATAATTTCTGTTTTTTGAGATGAAGTTTGTCTGTACTGGTGAATCGTGAACTTTTATGTTTATCAGCCTTGCAAGCGTTTGTCTTTTAATTTCAAACGTTGTAAATGACTTTTATGACATTATTACTTCTTTATTCACGTTTATCAGTCGCGCAAAGCGATGAATTTCAAATGATTCTTGCTAAGCCTTTTCTCTAGAAAAATGCGTTTCGTTGTTACAACTGAACTGCATGATTAGTCGTCATGATGTACAACGACAGTTTTGCATTAAGTCTATTATTTTTTAAACATTTTAAAGCGTGAATATCATTGGATTCGAATGATTAAAGTTGAAACATCGAATTAATACTTTTTATATTTTAGTTGATTATTTGGATTTTCGTATCTGTGTTAGAAAAAAATGCACTTCAAGGTCAAACGAAGTAATGCTATAAGGTAGGGTCACAGCGTACTGAAATAGAAAAAGTAATGTCGATAATTAAGAGTCATTAATATACGTAATAGCGCATTAGTTTAGTGAAACGCAAAGTTTATTCAATTAGTGAGGAATATATTCTGTAAGTTTTTATCATTGGTCCATTTGAGTTGGTCAAATGGTACTTAAAGTACATGATATCGAAATGGTACAATTTAGATAGAATATGAAATAGTACTGTAGAAACCACTCTAGCGACAGCCAATCTAACCAAATAGGTTCTTATATTTCGGCTGGGATAGCTATCTTCCCGAAATGGTTATTTTTCTAGTTGCTAGACTAGTCTTTAGAGCCAATTGAATATGAGTAGCTTTCATTTCAAGGCTGAATATATTTTTTGGCTTATTAAATGAGTTGCAGCAGACTACAAATGGGGGAGTTAAATTTGAGCAGCAGAGTTCACATGTGAGTTAGTCCATGAATACCGAATACATTCATCGGTATGCCTTACAGTTTAGATAAGTGTTTAATTTTAGATTTTGTTTACCAAATCTCTTCCAAATAACGCTTTTAAATATATTCGCGTTATCTAAATTAAAGCAGAAATAAGTGTCGACACACCTGTGCGATCCTTTCTTTCAATAGTTCCTCAGCCATTTATATTTGTTTTTCATATGTGCTCTGAATAACTTACAAAATGTAATATTCATCTATTCGTTGCTGCATGGGAAGCTTATTTTTGAAGTTACCAAAATGATTATTTGTATTTTCTATCCCTAGCTATTACTCTAAAATCTTTCAATTGTTCATAAATGAAGTAAGGTGATCATCATCATTTGTATTACTGAGATTTCTCATACAATTTTGCTTATTTGTTTTAACAACCACACTGTATACGCTTCTTCTATTCTAGCACAAAAGTATGTTATACGCTTTAATATATACTGTTTCGACTTGGCAGGACAAGCAAGTCGATTGATAAAGTTGTGAACCTTAGTCGACTGAAATGGCTTGGACATGTACTGCGCATACCTATCCACCACCTAGCTGAACGCACTATGCAAGATGTAGCTGTATCAGATTAGAAGACGGCTCATGGAAGCTAGACCAAGATTTTGGGACTAGTCGATGTAATCTCTGGCTGTTGGCTTGAGTCATGTGAGATATAGTCTACGTTGGTTGAGGATTCTTAGCGACATGACTGAGAATCGGTCACAATAAGGCAAATGTATTCACTCCTTGACATCTTCGAAGTGTTTACTCTCTCATACTACTTTATCTACTTTGCTATCACTGTTTTCAACCCACCTGTTTTTGTATACCACTGTGAACTGTCGCAACTTGGGCAAATTCACTTATGTGCGAGGTTAATATGCTGATTTTGTCAGTCATTTCCATATTCATTTTGAGCTGTTTTCCTAATTTGAGGAAAAGCTGAGAAATAAAGATGAATTCATTTTATTCTTAAAATATTGTTCTTCCAACTTTAATAAGAACGAATGTTAATAGGTAGCTTGGACACCAATTGATTAAGATACAAATGGGTCAATGGGTTTGCTTTTTTTGGTTTTCATTTGGAGTATTTGTAGAATAAGAATTATGTTTCGCTTGAGCGCTAAGTCTCCAGTATTTCTGAGATGTTATAAATCGTATGTTTTTGTGTTCCATCGAAACCATCAGTAGAATACCTTCAGATGATTGCTTCTTAACGCACTTACCAGATAATAGTGGAATTCGACCTGAAAATACCACTCATCTGCATGAATGCTGTGCATTAATTAACTTAACTGACTACTGGGAATATTTTCGAACGGTTTTTGTAAACTAGTCAACATGAATGAGGTTGTTGATCTGGATAAATTTGTATATAACCTTTATTCATGTTCAACAAATGATTAATGCAATAAAAGCACGAATTATGGAATTCGAAGACTTCGTAGTGAAGTAATTCTTCCATGCGATAGGAAATTTATGACGTTAATTTGTGGCATGCATAAATCAAGGTTATTCGCACTTCCTCACGATATCAAGTGTGCACAACTGAAAAACATCTTGCTTTTTTTGTTCCTAGAATCGATGGATCCCTATGCAGTTGCTATACTGTTGCAAGAAGACCTAGTTGTCATTGATCTTTTATCCAACAAGTAAGCAATGACTATACTTTTCAGCTGTCTTTATGTTAAATTTTATTTACATGTGCTTTCTAAACGTTATACTAATGTATATTCAGCTGATTGATTATTTATGCTGTTGCTTTTAAGCTATGCAACGTTTGAGAACCCATATCCAATGGACTTACACATTTCAGCAGTTACTAGCTGTTTATATTTGGTAGATTGTCCTGGTGATTTAATACCTGCTTTCTATTCCGTTGGGAATCGTCGGCATCGTACTCAAAGTGGTACAAGCAATGAACCTGATGTATTCACTAATCGTGAATGGCCTATTACTGGTGGAGAATGGGGTTTAAGTTACCAACCATTTCCTGAGTTGATTATTACAGGGTAGGTATACATAAAAAACTATCATTATTTTCACTTTAATTTATTTGAAAGATCTCTAAAAGTAGGCCGAATTAAAAAGCTATAATTTATTAATAATTAAAAGTAGATTTTTGAAATGATTATCAAAGTATATTGAGTAGTGAAGCAATAAAATTTAAGTCAGATTATTGGATGAAATTTACTAGGTGTTAACTTGCTTTTGCGTTTCTGCTATAAAAGAGTTTTTCAAAATAATTTTGGATTGATTGTGATTTTCTCTTGCAAACACTGGTTAACACAGAATGTAGTTGTATAAACTGCTCACTTCCATCATGCATAGGCAGAGAAAGATGAAACTTTGCACTTATTGCATCACTTGAAAACAATATTAGCTGGATACAGAATCCAAAGTGAACAAAGGGAAGCATATATGAACGTGCTCGTGTTCTCAAGATATAAAACATAGAAGGTGAATGCATGTTCACTGTTGTGGTCAAAATACAGCCATATCACTTATCGTTTGCATTATCTGATTCTTGACATCTAGACAAAATTCAATGTTAGATTATCGGCAGCGGTCGGTTTGTGTTTTAATAACTTTACTGGGTTAGCAAAAAATGAAATAGTCGAGTAAGAATGTGTTACTGGCTTTTCTGTAGTGGATGTACATCATTTTGAAAGGTAGTTTGGGCAAACTGCTGATTGATAATCTTCAGAAGTAAATTAATCAAGTTCCTTTGTTGATAGTGTTCTTTATGAATTAGTGTGCTGGATAATTGCAGTCTCATCCTAATGCCATTAAATGTGATTATGAACATGTACTTCAGAGTAAGAATTGTACTGCTTCACAATTTCTTGCAACGAATAATTTTTCGTGTGGAAGCTTTTTTTCCTATGAATTTCGAACATTCAATCGGTATCATTTCATGTCATCAGTTTTTGGATTCCAGAAATTATTATAATAAATCGACAAGAATTAAAATCAGTTTATGGGATATCACTATGGCAAATCATTCTGTAGTGGGAAAACGTAAGAAATTTAAAAAAGATCAATTCTTTCCGCATAGAATTAGCTAAAAACCACGTAAATAAATGTACAAGATTTCTGGTTCTCATTTGAAACTGAGATACCGCAAACGTTTTCTACAGTTTTGGTTGTATCTCAAGGGATATAAAATATTTGAGTTCATCATACTAGTCCTTAAATATAAAAAATTGAAATGAAACGGTGTAGGTTAAAATATTTTCCCCTGAAATAATACTTTGTATACCAAACTAAAAAAATAGGTGAATAACTAAAATTTTATTTACGACATACAGTTAGTTTTAAGTTGGTGTTGTTAGCATCATATTCGAATATCAAGTTACTCGTATCGTATCTGAACATATTGTAAACAACTTTTCAGCGTCATTAAGCTAGAGGAGCTGTTTGCTCACAATCAGTTCAGCTGTACAAGTGGCATCGTTTATTGACATTATAACTGGTGGTTTTTGTTATTGCCTCAAGGACTGAGGTGAAAATGAACTGACATCATTGATACCATAAAATAGTGCTTACTTATTTCTCAGGAGACATAGTAGATGTGCAAACAAAGTCATATCGTTCATAAATAGGGGAACGATTGATGACATTAGCAGGGTGTTTACTTATAGTTTAACGCCATTGAAGCTTTTCTTATAATCTCTATAGGATGGAAAAATCAATGATGCATTGAAATTATTTCTAGTGTATTATTAGTTACTAATCGAAATGCACTCAGCAACCTTGTGCACATTGATGCAGTTGATATTTATTTTTCATTAGATGAATTGACCAAGGTTAAACCAGTAGGTTTGTTAACTTATAACTTCCTTTAGAAGTAGACAATTTTAAGTTGCAACGCCGCAGAAACACATCAAACTTAAATTGTTGAAATATACTCATTCGTGAATAAGAGCAAGACATGTATCAGCGAAAAAATATTTCTTCTCATTGACTTCCAAATAACTTAACGGAAGATGAAAAGAACAAACAGAATATAAACTGGAAGAATGCTGTTTGATGGGGGACAATTAAATAAAAAATATTAAAATATTTCAGAGTTTGAGTGAGTCCAGTCATTAATGCATCCAGCTTTAGACTACTTATTTCGAATCATTTCATCTATCGTTTACTATTGTCCGTTTTGTCGGTGTTACAGATCCAGTTGAGGAGTCCTACAGATTTTGAATCAACCACCAACAACCTCATAAACTGCTGTTATATCTGTGGCAAGCTTTTTCAGCTTGTAGTTACTTTGGCTAGAAGACATACTTTTGGCTAGGTATTTGTAATATACGTCGACCATCTTATATGCTTTAAGTTTGCAACCCCGAAAACCGACCTACATAAAATGTTCTTTACATGCGGTCTACTTCGAAGATACTACGGTAGAAGAAATGCAATCTTTTTCATGCCTCTAGCCTGAAACGATGGTATTTTATTTCTGCAAAGCATACTTAAGAGATTACTGTGAACAATAACCACCGTTTGATGGGTAGTAAATTATACCACTAACGTGATAACTGGCTTCACAATGATAATTCTTCAGATGAACCAATTTCGTTCTTTTTGTTTACTTACCTACACACTTGTTTAGAAGAAACCTTTGAATCTTTTATTATTTAGTTAAATTTTCCGGAATTTTCTTACCACTTTATAAATTTTGCTCCCTATGCACTTAGCAAGATTTTATTATGGGGTTTAGTTCGGATATTTAAATTATGAAACATAAAATTGTCATAAACCTCCCAACCATGTAAGAAGCTTTTTTTCACTTATGGACAAAAGCTAAATTCCTATAATTTCAGAATGCAATTCAATGTTATTAGTATTTCACTTGTTGTATATCAAGTAAGTATTTACATAAGGTGGTAGCTTCTTAGGCAAATGCCTGGTAGTCATGAATGTGTTCACGATTTAATTTGGCCTTTAGGTAAAGCAAAGAATTTTTTTAAACAGAATTCATTAGACTTAATGGTCATGTATTATTTTCCAGCAATTATCAAGAGCATGTTACACTAAAAACCCCGTAGTAGAATCAAGTTCATCTTAGATACTTTCTCCTTTCAAATTTAACTGATTAGTTGGTAAATAGTGATCACTGGGTATCGTTTTATCTGCCTTTTATATCCTTCATCATTCTCATATATGTTATATTGCAAATTAAACTGGTGCACTTTTGTGCTAGGTTCTACGTTGATTTGTTCGCCCATCCCTTGTTAGTTTAATGCACTTGATTTTCATAGCATCTTTTCAGAGTGATGTATTCAGACATACATACATACATTAAACTGTTGGTATTTTTGCTGAAATCTGAATACTTTAGCTATAAGATAGATAACTATTAAAACTGTTGTTGAAGAGTGGACTGGACTTCCTATTTTTTTTAATCCAGACTCATGTTATTTACATGATGTTTTCTATAATACTAATTCTCTGAATTAACCTGACTATTTCAGTAATGTTTTCTACGCTAATTAACATGTCTATTCCTCTAATTTATTTTAATCTACCAACTTTTTACTTAAAGGCGTGAGATTAGCGTCATAGTTTCATAATGTAACCCTGTGAAAATGTGAGATCACTGATTGTTTGTAAACTTTTTTTATGATAGAATTTATTACATGTATGATGCTTGTCACACGTGTAACTTTGTTTCATGACTTATATCCGTAAAGCAAAGCTGAAATATAATTTTCTTTTCTGGAAGCGATTAATATTAAGTTAACATTCCCTACCTCTCCCTTTGTAGACATGCTGATGGATCTGTTCGATTTTGGGATGCATCTGAAGGTATTGCTTTTTTGAAATAATTTTAAGTTTATTCAGCGTATGTGAATATTGAGTAATGCCATCATCCTTACTTGAGCTTTATTCATCCAGCCACCGGGATTGGGGTTCTTTTTTAAACTTTTTCCCCAGTACTTCCAGATAGATCAATTCGTGCTAACTTAGCGTAGAACATGGTTGAAAATTTCTCTTTAGTTTTTTACAACCAGGTTTCTTCATCCAGGTTTATTGTTTCATTCATTTCATGTTTTTCAAATTAATAAAGGGAGAAGATGGTGAGGAAAACGTTATCCTATCTTTGTCATGTAAATTACTAAGTAGTAGATGTCTTAACTAAATTACAAATGGTGTATGTTTGCAAAAGTGAATACCTGCTAAATAGTAAGTATCCATGTTTGCTAATCATTAGGCCTGTTGTTGTAGAAATTACAGAACCATGTTTTGCCATTTCTTTCACCTATGCGGGCTTTTCGAGCAAGAAATTATAAATTCAATATTTTGTGTAGTATATGGTTTCGACCTGCTAGGTGAAAGTTCATTATCTCATTAATAAGCTATTATGACTTTTTCGAGTTGTTATTCATCGTGAACTGACATCAGCTGGAGAAACATCGAAAACCTGGGAGCACAGGACGGCGTTTCGTCCTACTATGGGACTCTTCAGCAGTGCGCATCAACGACTCCGCCAGTGGTCGATAAATAACAACTGAACAAATCTCTAAATCCCCACAAACCCCTAAATTCTATTCTAACTTTCTTTTGATCTCCGAAAGGTCGAATCTCAGAATTCTTGAATAGAAATACTCACTTATTTCTCTACTCCTAACATGAGTTTTTTCTGATCGCCTAACTCATTGACTACTTTTCCGAAAATATGTATATAAAGCTTGGTTGCTGATGGAATCTTAGCTTGGATGCAAAAGTTCTGATTTGAACTAAATCATATCTAACTCCAACGAGATATCAAACAACAAATCAAAAGATAAGTATATCATAAGATGGTTGACACTAACCCATTGTGCATCTGTGAGACATTGTTCTTGGAAAATTTAAAAAAGCTACATTTTTTGACCATATTTTCTTCTTAGCATTGTTCGCATGTGGCGAAATCCGCATGCGTGAACGTTGAGGTTGGATGTAGGGAACCTAAACCAGTTAATGCAGGTTTGTACCTTCACCGACAAAGGTTGTTTGGATGTGTCATTCGTGCTGAACCACCTATCTCGACCTGGGATTCTCGTCAAAGTAGGATTGGGTTTGAACGAAGTTAATACTGGTCAAACCAAGACATGATACCAACTCATGAATTCTTCGACTGTTGGTCTGACTCTATCAGGAAACTTGAAGAGGTCAGGAATCAATTGTTGCAGGCTCTTAGTGATATGACTTGAAACCAGTCACATTTGCGCAGATGTATTTACTTGTTATTACCTTCGAAGTCTTGAATATCTTCTTTAACCCTCATATATTTATTGTCTCAACTATCATACTACTTTTTTGGACATTAATGTAGCCTTTCCTATCCACCCCCTCTTTCCATCTTATAGTGAGTTGTAGCGACTTGTACGGATGCTCTTCTGTGCCAGGCTATCCATAGATTTGTGTATTCCAAATCCTTCAGTTCTTCTGCGAGCATTCGACATGGCTGGATCAGAAAATCAACTTTTCAGTATCAGAGATATTTTCTTACTTTTTAAACATTTTTTTTTTGAGAACTGATTTCAGAAATGTCATGAGGCCTACCAATGCTTATTTCATCCAATCTTAAAAACAGTAACACTGATATAAGATTTAGTGCGCGTATGTTCGATGGCTTGAAATCTCTAAATGTATTCATTATTGAGGTCAATTTTCAAGTTATATACCTGATAGTACAATTTTTAAAAGATATATAAATGTGATTTATAATTTGTGGTTTTGCCATAAAAAGCGTTTCTCTGAATAAACCATTTAACGTAGTTACAAGCGGAATAGATTTGAACGTTCATGTGGCTTTGTGAAAAGCTATACTGCTTTTGAATACTCTATTTTCATAAAACATTTCCTAATTCTTATGTAGTGAGGAACGTCATCTAAAGCATGAATATGGTTCCGTATTCGTAAGATATTGGCAGTAATACTGTTTGCGATGAAGTTTCTTAAATGCATGTGACATTTTTGCATTAAAATATAAGTGTAAGCTGATTTTTCGTGGGGAGTTACATTGATAGCCGAGATAAGTTCCCTCTGTGATGCAGTTTTTTCATTCAGGTAAGTGTTGTAAACATGTTATTGGAAGACATTCCCAAATAGACGTTAACCGTAGCAATTATCAGGTTTCTGTTTTATGCCAGTCATAGTGGTCTGAGACTGAGCTACTCAGTACTGTAGTAGGAAAAATTCAATTTTACTTCATTGAAGCAAGGTTTTTCAGTTTGTCTAAGCGATCATTGCAATCTGGTTGGAGAAACTTGATGGACTTGCAGTGCTTCTGTCGAATAATAGTTTTCATTTTTTTGACAAGATCTATCAGTATGCATAATCCTTTATTAGGAACTTATAAGATGCGACGTTGAGAAGCGCAGCTGCTTATGACTTTGCACATCGTTTCTTTATTTTTCACAACCATAGTCCTTTCTAGCTCCATATTTAAGGGTATATGGTATTCCTCTGCAGTCTCAAGTTGAATTTTAATTTCAACATTACTCTGAAACAGAAAAGTGGTTTCATGGTATATAGACTAACAGATGTAACTAATACTACAAAGTTAAGTCAGTCAGGTATAA